TCTTGTGTTCTGCATTAAACTATTTATAGTTTAAGGGCCTGGTTAGAAATGTTGCCTTAGACTAGGAATAGCTAAGAGCTTGTTATAAAATGATTTGGACTTAGATTAAGAATAATTTAAGAGCATGGTTGAGATATTGAATATCGAATGACTTGGAATAAAATATTGAGAATATCATGAATGTTTGAATCATATATTGTGTGCATGATATCAAATGGTTGATTATGAATTGAGATTCAATTTATTTGGATGTTCGACGCTTTAGATATGCTTACTCAGCTTCATCGCTGAGCGTGTAGTATGTTTTATTTGCTACACGCAGGTAGACAGAATGAGTGAATGGCATGTCCTTGGCAGCGGAAGGGGCGAGACAGTCGTGGTGGATTTATTGAGAAAATAAATGATTCTGTTATTATGAACCATGTTTAAAAATCGCTTCCGCATTAAACACTCCGTATTTACTACAATTATGTTTGTAATTTCATTTATGATGAATAAAGTCATTTGAAATGTTTTAAATTATACGATTACCAAGTTAATACTTTAGTTCGGAAGGGGTTGTAAACCTGGACGGATTAGGGTGTTACATGCTGGGTCAGTAATACTAAACTAATGTCTTGATGTAAGAGGCAAGGTAAAAAAAAAGATAAACCCTTGAGATAGGGGCCTTGATGTTGAGGTATGGCCTTGAGATAGGCTGGGTCTGAAAGAGGACTCGCGTCCATACTTACATGGATCCCTACCAAATTTTCATTTGGATATGGGCAAAAAGATGTCAAAGTAAAAAATGATTACTGTCTTGCATGAGCCATCCTTTGCGGATTGAAGGGTCTAGGGAAGACTAGAATTCACTTCAAACGCATAACATATGGACATGTAAGATTGGATGAGGGCTGGTTCTCACCGGCATACCCCCACGTGGGAAGATTGGGTTGGCTAGGTCAACCTAATGATTAGAGAATGGGACATTAAAAAACTTAAAACCTGGAAGAGGGGCCCTGGAAGAAGGGTGTTGCCTGGAAGAGGGCTGAACCTTGGAGAGGGTTCGCGATCATAGGACATGGTCAAAATCTCCGAAGAAAGTTCGGGTCTTGATGTTGAGACTTGATGATACCAAAACCGATTCGGATTATTCGTTCGAAGTTTGAGCAAGGTTACTGATAGGCATGACATCCAGGCCAAAGGGGTAAAGGAAAGTGGCATGGTCAAAAGTGACCGGTCACTTCTTGGATGTTCTTGATTGGCAAGAAAAGGCGAATGGGAAAAAGCAAAATTTGACCGGTCAACTTTGAGAAAAGTGACCGGTCACTTTTTTAAGGGTTGGATTTGAAGAAATCAGACCAATCTGGAAAAGTTTAATTTTGACCGGTCATATTTTTGACCCGGCACCTGGACAGGAAATTTGACGTCATGTTGGTTACATATTGCAACCAAGCCATTAGAACCTGGAAGTTGACTGGGTCAGAAAACAGGCGAGGAAGAAACCGACCTAGACGTTTTCAAGTCAAGAAACCAGGACATGAGATGACCTGGAAGTTTTCAAGCCTTGCGTCTAAAGTAGTCTTCAAAACTTCCAACCTAGCCTACTACACCAGGACATGAGATGACCTGGACGTTTGTTGCAGTTCAACCTAGACACAAGCCGGTCCAGAAGACTAGTCAGGCATAAAGTGATCTGAACGTTCTCAAGGCTACAAGATCTGGACGTTTTCAAGGTTGCAAGACCTAGATGTTTTCAAGGCTTGTACTTGACCAGGACATAACATGACCTGGACATTTTCATGAGATGGAATTGACCAGAACATGAAAAGACTTGGACGCTGTCAACAAAGCCTACCAGACCTAGACATTTCTAAGGCGTTAACCAAAGACCAGGACATGAGGTGACCTGGACAACTACAAAGGATAAGACCGGTTATTGTTTTTGACTTGGAAGCTAAACCAAGCATGTTCAAGAAAAGGCAAGTCTGACCATGCAACTTCAAGTAAGGACCAAACAAGGAAAACAACCATGCAAGAAATATTGAGCAAGCGAGAAAAAGGAATCAAACCATGCAAACTGAAAGAAGAAACAAGCCGGTAAATTGAAAACCATGCCAAACAAAAGATAATATTACACAAGTCAGAAGTAGGCCGGACATCCCCCAGGCCTTGGGAAAATTCAAAGTTTTTTCAAATCAAACCCTAACCTATTCTAGGGGAAAGGGGGGAGCTGGCTCTTCCTTATACAAGGCCGGGAGCTTCATTTTGGCCGGGTCAAAGGAGGGGTCCCTCTTTTGGAGTCTGGAATATAGAAAAGATCTCTCTTCCTTTTGACCACACTGGAACCCATAAGACCCGACGTCTGTTATCATTCTCTTTCCTTCCGGTTCCTTATACATGACTTTGAAAAAATCCATGGTGTCCTCCGGATTGGTGAGAATGGACCGGGCGACTTTAGTGTGATGGCAGGCGGCCCAAATCACAGCATCATCAGGAAAGGCCTCCTCTTTTGACCGGGCAGTCTCTTCAGCTTGGGCCAACGCCTCTTCAAGCTCAGCGACCTTTCTCTTGCCTTCCTCCTCCAACCGGGCAGATCTGGCCCTCTCCTCCTCTAGCAAGGCCCTCTCAGCCCTCAGCTCTACTTCTAACCTTCTCTCCCTCTCGACCAGGTCATTTATTTCTGATTTGGCCGAGTCAAGCAGGAGATACAGTTGGGAGGCCTGGTTGGAGGGCTCGATGAGTGACTGGCCAATCTCTTCAAAAAGGACTCCAACCTGGAAAAGAAGTTTGTCAGTTAGAGACCGAGCTAATAATTAAACCAAGCGAAAAAATAGAGATGACATACCTTTTGGAGTCTTCTGGTCAATGCAAGGAAGGCCTCTTCAACCGACTCCCCTTCCAAGTCAAGCGACCCGGTCTTCTTCTTCTTGCCCCCTTTGGAACTCTTATGGGAGCCCTTCCTTTTCTGGCCCTTAGCGTGGGAAGAAGAGTGGCCGGTATCCTTGGACTTGGATTCGAACTGGGCCTGGAAAGAATTAACCCGGTCATCTTCGAAGAGATGGGTAACCGAAGGGGACTTCACCTTCTTATCTCGGATGAGATCGTCGAGGGGAGTGCACCGGGCAGATGAAGCCCCTTCCATCCCAGGGTTTTGAGGGGGAGAAGGAGGGTTGCGATTGGGAGACCGATTGGAGTTGAGGACTTCGACATCATCGTCATCATCTTCGATGGTGGTGGTCATCCTGTTGAAGTTCATGTCTGCCAAAAAGAACAAAAGCAACAAGTGACCGGTTAGATTTTACACCTTATCAAAAAGAAAGTGAAACCAAAAGGTTGAGGAAAATTAACCAACCTGGATGAGGAGAGCCGGCCTCAGCGTGACCATCCGGGGAATCAGCCCGGTCATCTCCTGCGTCATGGGTCGCAGACACGTCCCCATCCGGGTTAGGTAACCGGTATACCCATCCACCGTAGGCGTATGGCTTACCGGTCACAGGATCACCCTTGAGAAGTTTCTCGCAGGCTTCCTCTAGCTCTTTGGGTGGGCTCCGGGTGAACCCTTTCAGGTTTTATAACCCGGTCAGCCCACTCACGGTTGGAGTATGGAAATTGGTCAGGGGGGAACTCAACGAAAACAAATCTTTGCTTCCATTTCTTGTGGCTAGGGGGAAGACCGGTCAAAAAACCCCTAGAATTGGCACGGGAATGGAAGTAAACAAAGCCCGGGCAGTTAATAGTCCCGGGCAAGACATCATACATATGAAGGAAGAGGTCCAAAGAAGGGGTGATTTTTAGAGATTCACAAATATTTACAAAACAATTCAAGAACCGGTGAGCATTTGGAGTAAGCTGGCCGGGCAAAATCTTGAACTTGTCACAGATTTCTACGAGGAGGGGGCGAAGGGGAAAGATAATGCCCCCCTCTAGCGAAGCGACGTGAAAACCCAACCGGTTTCCTTGGTGGGGTTCTATGATGTTGGGCCAGGTGGTGTTAGAAATGACTTTATAGCCCGGTGGAAGGACAGAGCGTACCTCGGCCAGGACCTTTTTTGTAACCCTAGAGGACTCTTTGAAGACCGGTCCTGAGTCAAGGGCTAGGTAGCCCATTGATCCCAATCGTTCTTCCCACTGGTCCCAGCTGAGGACCTTGGGATTGAACCGACCGGGCAGTTGGTTCAAAGGAACAGGCTCATGGGCAACTATTTCCTGGGCCTGGGAGCTAGATTGGTGAGAGGGGCGGCGAATTAAAGGAGTGACAGGAGGAGAAGAAGACTCGGAGTGAGAAGAAGAAGAGGGCTGAGAGCCTGACCCATAAGATTGACCGGATATGTTTTGACTATCAGAAGACATTATGTTGCCGGTTAAAAAAGGGAAGATGAAAAATAAAAGACTAGGAGGACTGGAGCACTTACTTGGTGAGAAGCTAGAGAGAGAAAGTAGACCGGGCAAATCAAGAGAAACGAAGGAGAGAAGTGAAGAAATGAGATGGGTTGGAGGAGTATTTATAGGAGAGAGAGAGGAGGGTTGGAACTCGAGGCGACAGGTGGGAGGTCGAGGACATGACACGTGGAAGAGTAATGATGAAGTTTGAAATTCAAATTTTAAATAGGGAAGGTGAAAGGATTTTGGGGGGGAAACTGCAAAAATGGAAGGTCGGGCCCAACATCTGGGTTTCCACAGATGCAAATGGACGGGTCTAAATGGGAAGGCTTATAATTCGAAAAATGATAGGTCAGAGGGAACTGGTCAGATCTAAAAGGACAGGTCATTGATGGCAGGTCATCGACGGATCCAAAAAATGAAAGGTCAGTAGGAAAAGCTTGATCATTCAAAGAAGGATAGGTCTTGAAAAGGAAAGGCTTGATCATTCAAAAAAGGACAGGTCATGAGAGAAGACTTGTTGAATGTAAAAGGACAGGTCATGAGAGAAGACTTGTTGAATGTAAAAGGACAGGTCATGAGAGAAGACTTGTTGAATGTAAAAGGACGGGTTAGCAAGAATGACTTGATGATTTCAAAGTGTGATAGGTCAACACAAGTATACTTCCCGCCCTTGATGATTTCCTCACAAGGCCGGTAAGTGGAGGACTTCTTGATGGGTATATCCTTATACCCGACCCGGATAACCGAAAGGGACAGGTCAAAATATGACCGGTCACTTTTACCAATCACCAAAAGAGGTTAACTCTTCGATTGGGACGGGTCAAAAGTTGACCGGTCACTTCCACTAAAAAAGTGACCGGTCACATTTTGGGCGATAGCCAAAATGTCGCCTAATGTTGTGAAGAATTCATGTCTTGGCTTATAGTTGCTAAATTCTATGATTGTACAGTGCTTCCATTATCTACAGTGACCTTCCCACGAGCTTCCTATTTTGTCCATGGATGAACAGGGGAGGGTCACAAATCCTCCTCTATAAATATGATGATATTTGATAGAGGGGGGCATCCAATTTTTCTCTCACTAAAGTTCACTCTTGAGATAGAGTAAGAAATATAATTCGGACTGAGGAGATTTACCCGGTCTAGGTCATACTTTGTGTTCTTGTTGTGTGTTTTATATTACGGGTCGAGTGTGTCCAGGTCAAACCCGGTTAACCCACCCCGCTATATTTACACCATCAGTGTTAATGAATGAAGTTGATGAACCAATTCAGAATTGATTGGGATATGTTTATGTTCAACTTATTTGGATTGAAAAAATAAATAAATAATGGATTCCGTAAGAATTGGAAAATAGTCAATGATCTTCGCAGTACTTACTGCCTTTTTAAAAAAATCCATGGAAGATGTTTTTAGTTTGCACCCTACCAACGCAAAACGGGGGGGGGGGGGGGGGGNGATTTATAAAGAATCAAAATTTTCTTGAAAATATCGTTTTTTAAGTATAAATAATACGGAGTAATTAAAAACATTTGAGCAAATCATAATTTCAATAATTTTTTAAAAAAATGTAACCACCAATTTTTTTAAAGGCAAGGCTTATTTTACTTATGAACCCAAAATTATACTCCCTCCGTCCTAAAACGATTTCCCACTTCTCCTTTTTTTCCGTCCTAAAACTATCTTCCCATTTTAAAAAAGAGAGTGTGAATGACTATTATACCCTCCTTATTTTTACTAGCTTTCCCACCCACCACAAATTTTATTCTCTGCCCTCTCGTCTCTTCCTATTCCTCTCTCCATTTTTCCTCTTTCCATCATCATCTTTCTTCATCTTCCTCCTAATTTCTCCTCTCTCCTTAGTCATCTTTCTCCACCCTAGTCATCTTTCTCCACTTCCTACACCCCCGCCGCTGCCCCGCCGCCGGAAGGCAGAGGATGCGAGTACGGAAGGGTTTTCGTCTACAATCTGCCGCCGATGTTTAACCCGGATTTGATTCCAAGGAACTTGACGGATCTGGATCCGTAGAATTGGCAGAGCGGGCTTAACATCAACGATGGATTGGGGAAGAGGACCCGGGCTTAACATCGCCGAGATCTTGCCGATGAATGTCGCAACGGCGTGGTTTCAGATCTTGCCGATGGATTGTGGGTGGACGGTCTGGAAAAGGAGCTCTCCTTTCAATTCCACAATTTATTAAAGATTTTTTTTCTTCTAGGATGTGATTTTGTTTTTGTTAGCAGTCAATTTTTGAAAAAATGTTGCGTGAGTGTTTGTTTCTAGATCTGCAATGTTGAGTGAACTGGAAGAGTACTTTAGGGGCATTTTGGGAAAGTCAATGCATATTTTACACTCTCTTAAAAATGGCATATAGTCAATGTGGGAAGATGGATATAGGATGGAGGGAGTATTATGACTAGGACACCTAGGGTGCTAGAGGGCAAGAAACCGTCAGTTTTATGAATGAAACGTCAGTTTTATGAATGAAACACCAGGAGTGTCCCAAAATGACAGTGGTACCACTAGTGAACCCAAACGTAGGTGTCACTAAATCCCACCCCCACCCAATATTCTATCACATAGGTAGTACCATTAGTAAAAGTGACCCCAAAGAAACTCATAAATGTGACCACAAGTCATGACTCATGAGAAAATTATACTCTGACACTAAGGAAAAAAAAGTATACAGTGGTTCGCTTAGAAGTGGAGTTTTACTTTTCATAATGTTAGTGGCCAAAACTGTGAAAAATGACACCCATTGACACCAAAAAAACTGCAAGAAATAGTGAAACACCCTTTGTCAGTTCTATCCCTAATTTGGCACAATTTATTTCATACAAAAAAAAAACCTCAATTTTCACAGCTCCATATTTTACAAGAGCCCAAGATGCAAAATCACAACAACAAATCGAGTAAAAGATGCAGAATCACCTCATAACCTTATTAGAGGTAACTCACTCCATCTCCTTCTACTACCTCGCCGAGCCGGAAAGCTTCAAAAGTCTCATCCTCGAGGATTTTCCGAGCCGTGTCGGGGGTCACAACAAGGACCATCCCGATTCCCATGTTGAAAGTCCGCCTCATTTCCGCATCTTCAATTTTACCCGCCTTCACATCATAATGTATGTTTTTCTTAATACAAAATGAAAAATGAGTATATTCCCAAAATGGTCCTTTCTAATGAGGTGTTTTCCCAAATTAGTCCTCAATAAGTAATAATTACCAACGTAGTCCTTTGTAATTGAAATATATTCCCTAAATAATCCTTTGTCAAAAATGCCTATTAGATGACAGTTAATGGAGGGCATTTTTGTATTTTCCATCATATAAACTATGAATAAATCTTCAAAACGGTCCTTTCAAATTAAATCGACAACTGCTAGAGGAAGTGATCCACCCCACGCAGGCTCATGAAATCCATTTCGGGAAAATATTTACTTAGAACTTGTCAGTTTGGAAAATGGAAAATACTTAACTATAAAAGAGTACTTCGGAAACATACATTAAGTCTAGATGATAAAAAATACAAAAATACCCTCCATTTCACTGTCATTTAATAAGAAAATTTGACAAGAACTATTTAGGGAATAGATCTCAATTACAAAGGACCATGTTGATAGTTGGTAATTATTGCTTTAGAGGACTAATTTGGGAAAAACACCTAATTAAAAAGGACCATTTTGGGAATTCACTCATGAAAAATTTATACAAATACTCCCAGAATATTTTTACGATAATACTCCAAGTTCACATAAAATTAGGGGATTCAACTAAAAATTCACACAGAGTATTATAAAATAATACTCCGTAAATTGTGCAATATTGGGGGTGTTCTTGTAAAATCTCCGATTATTCGCAGTATTGGGATGTTTTTTTTCAACGCACAAAGAAGATGAAAACCATAGTTGTGATGAAATAAGACCTAACCTCTTGAATCCATTTGAATACGGGAGGAACTACCCATGAATCTTTGTTAACGGCAGCCCCTAAACCTTTAGGAAAAACGCGAGGTATATTATCCGTAAAGCCTC